GTGTATCAATCTCCATATTTGGGATCCAGGAAAGATAGACTTTTTCTGTTGTTTCGATTTGGAATTTCTAGCCAAAGCAGACTTTTTTTTTAACAAGGAATATGAAGACCTAAATCTTTCCAACCGCGAGATTTTCGGTTTCTGTCTTATAATTCTTCTGGCGAAGACAAGTTTCAGATACTAGGAATGCTCCTACCTTAACATAGATATGCAGAGGGTCCTATTTTAGAGCTGTTTCAGAGACGTTGATAAAATAGCACTGCCGATTTTTGTGGTATTTTTGGTCACCACGGACGCATAAATAAGAATCGGACGGGCGGTCGTGCGATAAATTTATTCTATTATGTATGTATATATCAACGTCCTACCGAAGGTTCCGCCAGGCTTCGATATTCGGCTTATTTGGCAGATTTGCCGAAAATGACGAACTATTAGGCAATTCAGAAGGTATTGTATTTTACGACAGTTGTTAAAATTTTATTGTTGTTTCGCATCTCTAGAATTGTAACAGAAATGTCGTAAAAAAGTGGTTAATTTTCATAGAAGTGAATCAGCCAGCAGATATGTATTTGAAATCCTACACTCTGGCAAAATAGCAGATTAGCTCAGGCCACTTGCTCATTATGGTGAAGACCCCTTATATTTTGACCCCTTATACTATGAAAATAAGAGAAACTTTCCCGATAAATTAGTTGGCTACGTTCAAAATGTACTTGAAATGGTGTGCCTGTGCCGAATATAAGAGAAAGTTATGCAAGTCTTTAAAATGCTTTTAACGTTAAGACTGCACGTTATCTGCCTTTTTAAACTATGTATGTAGTATGTTTGTGAGGCGTAAAAATAATTTTTTACGAAATAAAAAATAACAGCTTTATTATTTTTGAAACGTAAAAATTAATATTAATATTCGACTTCGGCTTCGGTGTTCGGCCGAATATTAACAGCTTCGGCCGAAATTCCAGCTACGGTCGGCCACTAGTATATATGCACTATCGAGCTCAGGCGATATACAAAAGAGACGTAATAAGTAGGGACCGAAAACTCGTTCCAGTTTTGGTTTAGTGGTTTAGAAAAAACAAGGTTCGGGAATGTTTCCGTAAAGAACAAAATACAAACAAAACTCTTGGGGAACGTTTCCAATGAAGATATAGAATGAAGAAATGGAGAGCAATATGATAAAAAAAGTTTTTAGAACTTAACGTTAAGAATGATAGTGGTGTCTGCGTGAAGGGACTAAGCTAGATGAAAGCTAGATGATTTCAACCCCCAGATCGTTTATCATTAGGATGAAATGTCCATTTATGGAACAATTTTTTTATTTTCAATGCAAGAAAAGTTCGTGTCTTAAGTCTTTCTTTGACTTAGTTTGCAAAATTATCTTTCAGTTCTCTTTTGATTTTTTAAATATTAAAATATTTCAAAGTAATGAAACGTTATGAAAAAAATTTTGTTCTCGCTTCCAATTATTCGCGAATATGTAGTTCAATAGTTCAGAGAACATTTTTTCCCGTTTCGTTCTCTGTCAGAAAGTTCCTCAGAAAGTTTCAGAGACTTAGTCCCAAAATTGTTCTTCGAGAGAAAATTCCTTAGACTTTTGTCCCCATTTTGTTCTCTTGACTAGGAGTTTATTTAAAGTTAGAACAAATAACATTTATATCAAGTTTTGAACTACTTGTGTAAACGAAGGGCGGAAATATGAAAATCAAAAATGAGTTATTAAGCTGCTTCTGTGAATATTTAACTAATTTTCACAAGTTTTTGTGTAGTTGTTAAACTCCTTCTCACGCCGAACTTCCGCGGTGAATTCATTCCTACTGGGTACTCTAAGGTATGCACATTTGATCTGCGTGTATAATTTCTCATAAAAATTCCATCTGTTGTTGCTGTAATAACAGCTGATAAAGCAAAAAGCTCATAAGCCGAATCGACATAGCAACGCCTTGGAAAATGTGAGTCTGAAATGAAAATTTGGAAAACATAAACGCAACATCTGGATTGGGACACCGAAGCAACATGTCTTTGTGCACGCATAAAAGGACATCATTGGTGAGAGAGCCAATAACGGAGGAATGCAATTTACTCATAAGTATGTGCATTCAAGGCAAAGTAGATAATGGTGACGACAGTTGAAAATTGGACATCGAACCACTTGTGGTTTCATATGCGTCGGCACTCGGCAGGCAAACAACTACTTTATACGTTTTTCTTTCATAAAGCTTACTTATATAGGACGTACGTTGCTCTCAGCCGTTTGTGCTTATACAAGGATTTTTACTAATACATATGTATATTCGTCTGTTTGTGCACAATCGCTTACGCACTGACTGCTAATGAGTTCACTTTCCGCCACAGACGCCAGCCATCAAGAGTCGCCATCATTGGTTATCGTCGCAAAGTCATAAAAAAATATTTTATGAACTCTTAGCTGAGCCGCAGAACAGCTTTTGACCAGTGTTGGTCCAACCACACAATGTTGCCTATAGCTCTCTACTCTACTCTAGTGGCCAAGGTTAATGCGTTCAATATTAACCTGGCAGCATAACAAGCAGGCACAGAGGCCGGTGGAGCTCAGCTAAATGCACAGCCATATAATACTCTGCTGGCTGTTTGTGGGTGGCGGAAGCATACTACGCACACTTAAACTTTTATGACTGCGTTGGAAAATTTGTACACTTTAATTCGATAAACGGCGAGAAGCTTAACGACATCCACGCAAGCCTTTTATGTTCAAGTTGTGTTGCTGTCGCTGTACTGGACTATTTTGTATGCGTGATTTTTGTGCAGTTATGTGTACATATGCATGCGAGCATTTCATTGTGTTCGCTGATAGTTCGCTGTGTGTGTGTGTTTGCGCTTCCGACCTTTACACTTACCTTTACTTGTTGATAACGGAATGTAAACCAAGCGGCTGGTGGCAATAGCCCGATAACAGCGCAAGCCAAAACCATAATACTCGTTCGCATCGGCCAATTGAGTGCGGCTATGCAAGGCGAACCATCCTCGCAGTAGTCGCAGCCCTCAGCGCAGGGTAGGCACTCATACTCGTTGATAATGTTGTAAGTGGAGTTTTTGCCCTGTAAAGTAAATACCAGAAATTATAGTTTAATTTTGAAAATCAGTCTATGGCATACGATACATTAAAGTAAAATTTTGCCAAAGTTAAAACGAGTGGCATAAAAAATATACCAACTTCAATCTTTCTGGGGAATCTTCTTCCCTATTTTATGCAGTAATTCTTCTTTCTTGTTAACCGACTTCCAAAAAACGAGGAGGTTATCAGTTCGTCGGAATATTTCTTTGTATTTTTATACCTTTCATGAGCATGAACGGGTATTATAACTTTAGTCCGATGTTTGTAAGTACCAGAATGAAAAGAGATAGATCCATTAAAATGTATACTTATATGATCNTCTGATTGTTCAGATGCGATTTTTTATATAGGTATGTAACTCCTCTATCGATGTATGCAGATGTATTCAAAAGCAGTAATCTGTCAAAGTAAAATGTGCAGATGTTCATGAAAGGTATGAAGCCTTCGGCATAGCCGAAGACAGCCCTGCTCTTACTTGTTTTATTTATTTATTTTTTATTTTTTTATGTATGTTACCGCATAACTTTGGACCAGGTCAACCGATTTCGACAATTGTTTTTGCATCGTATAGGTAGTGTCTCAGAGGTGGTCCCATACTAATCTGATTTAGATCCGATCTGTGGATCACGAGATAAACATATATATATATATTTTTTTTTTATATGAGAATTGAAGTTGGTTTTTTTTTGCTAAAAATTACTTGTTTTATACTTTTATCAATTTATTTACATGTATATATTTTTATGTATTTATTTTGTTTTAATCAGTAGAAAAATGATATGATACCAAGAAAGAGAAAATGTTGTAGAATTTGATAAAACCATATATGTAATACTCCTATATTGGCAGTAAGAGCTAGTACCGTCCGAAAACACTACAGTGCAGATATATCAATAAACACGTACGAAAGAAAAGGAACACATACGTTTGTAAATAAACATGTACACGACACATTTACAAAAACGGCACTCAAGTACACAATACATTGACAAAAACAGTACTAGACTGTCTCGCTTTGATTTCGGAATGCTTACACATTGAGATGTTAGCTTACTAACAATATAGAAGTATTACATATATGGATAAAACTATTAAAGCTTTTTTGGTATACAAGGACGAATACACGAATTTGTCGAATAGGTATTGAAGAAGCAATTTTAATAATTTTTTTTAAGCTAATAAAGTTAGCAGAGCGAAATTCGAGGATTTGGTCGCGTGTATATATTTATAATAAATATTTTAAATTTTCAATGATTGTCAAAATTTTGCTAAGACATTTTCCAAGTCCATTCGTCCTTATGCACCAAACGACTTAATCTTCTTTGATTCTACTGAATTTCCTTAAAGAATTCTTTGGGTGCCATTACGAAATGGAACTCATGGAAGAATTTCTCTGCTAGCATAATCAGTGGACACTAGCTTGTGAAAGAATCCGACGTCTCCGTTGTTTATTCATTTAGAAGCCGCATGGTGCCTGGATGCCATCGCGCGAGGGGTATAGGTGGAAATCTGATATCTTCGGCTTTGTACCCATTGTCAGCTGTTATCGTAAAGACCTGTCTGAGCCTAAACTTCATACCCAAACGGCTTTTGATAGCAGAGACTTAGAACGAGTTCCAGTTTGCACGGCAACAAAATGTAATGTCAAGAACGCTCCCACAAAAGAGCCAAACTGGAACAAAAGTACTGAGATTAGTTTGAGCGAAAAAAATTGACAACAGAAGGTTCGGAAACATTTCCATAAAAAGAAATGCGAACAAAACTCTCGGGAACGTTCTCAATAGGAACAGAATGGAAACGAAACTTTCCGGAACGCTTCCAATGAGAACAAAACAAGAACGAAAGTATCGATAACGTTTTCAAGGAGGAAATAACTAAAAAGAAAAGTCTGAGACCAGAGGAAAGTTGGATAGTTTAAACTTCCAGATCGTTGAACATTAGGGTAAACTGTCAATTTATGGCATACTTTTTAATTTTCTGTGCAAGAAAAGTTCGTGCCTTAAGTCTTTCGTAGACCTTCAGTCAAGTTCAGTTTTTGATTCATTTTAATATTAAAACATTTCAAACTAATGGAACGCTGTGACAAAAAATTAGTCCTCGTTTCTGTTCTTCGCGGATAGTTCAGAGGATATTTGGTTCCGTATCGCTCACTTTCTCGGTCCCTGTTTGATAGATATGCATTACTTCCCTTTTCTCCCCAAAATACTATATCTAAAGGCTAGACTAAATGGACATTTTCCAGAAAATTTATGTAAACAAATAATTTTTAAGCAAAATACAAAACCCACTTCAAAAATTTAAGATTATCGTTGATTTCTTCATGATTCAATGATCGGATCTAAACCAAATGCGAACACCTGCGAGGTAACACCTTGGAAAAAAAGAACTGTACAAATCGTTTAACATCGTCGAAAGTTATGCCGTAACATGCATAAAAAATTATATATACTATACATATATTCCGACGAATTGATAACATTCTACTTTTTTGAAGTCAGTTAAAAAGTTGTTTAATGTTGTTTTCGTTTCTAGCAAAAAAGTTTACCTTCTCTTTGCTCTTTACGCACAAATACTAAGAGGGCAATGAGAAGGCAACATTTTTTATAGAAATGAAAACACCATAACTTTCAGATGCCTATTGGAAAGGCAAGTCTGCCGACACAGCTCTTCATTAGACAGCAAGCATTTAAAACACTTCATTACGCTTCCCAGCCAATTGGATTGAATTGAGATATCGCACGATTAATAATATACAGAATTTTTTCAAAATTTAATTTTTGTGGGAAAACGCAATCAAAGTTTGATCAGTTCATACAGTCGGTATACCAAAAGACAGATGAAAAGACACATATCTCAGCTATTTTTGGGAAGTTTAGTTTTCTGTTAGGTTGAACATATGCTCCTTATCAAGCTTATTAATTGTATGATGAAATCTCAAATAACGTGAATTTTGAGTTACATCTCTATATGATTAGTATTGTCAAACAAAAGAATAAGGCAATCGCTTATCAATATTTTTCTCTTCACACTGTATAATAAATTTATAAATAAACAACAATAAATTTATTACATCCATCATCGTTTAATAATTCACAAGCAAAAAAAAAAATACTCACCAACATAAGTTTTTCATACTCCTCTTCCAACAGACTGCCATTGAAAAACTTCGGATTGGACATTGTGTCGGGGAAGTAGTAACCTTTCCGGCAGACGCATTTGTACGAGCCACGACGAAAGCCCAAACCCTTCAAAGCTTCACACTGTAAAATAGTAAAGAGTAAAAAAGGGTAAACTTGTTTGCAGATTAATTGTGTGACAAATCAATTAAGCTTTGTTAGCAAAAATTTGCAGACTATGAAAAACAAATTAAATTAATTGAATGCATAAGCTGAAAAGTAAAAATAAATGATGTGGGGAAAAATATTGCAATTCACTGTTAGAAGCAAAGTATAGAAGATATACACCGCTTAATTTTGCTGTAACTTGGCGAATAAAGAGAGAATGGCAAATTAAACGCTCTTCAGTGCTTTTATGAAAGCGTATTACAATTTAACAGAATTAAAGATATATTAAATCCGAAGTATTCTGGATTTTGACTTAATAGAGCATTAAGGCTCGGTTACGCATGCTTAACTCTACTTGACTTGGCTTGAGAATTGTGAGATAATCATTCTATTGAATGAACTTTCTTTGTTCATAAGTGGTTAGCCAACGAATGCAAGACAAATTTGATTTTTTACGTAGGAGGGACCTTTACGATCACAGTGGAGTTTTGTGTTTATAGAACAATAACTATTATCGTCTATATTACCCTAACAGCCTTTTAACACAAAATGTCAAAACTCACCGAGAATTAGCGCCCCTCGTCAGTTTCATTCTATGGCATTCTAGCATAGTCTCTATCATCGATTGTTTAAATAAGGTAAAAAAAATCCCCTCCATTTTATTGGTACTTCAATGAGCTGTTTGCCGATAAACCAACCCAAAGGAAATTTTTTCTAAGCCTAGTCAATAAAATCGCAGTATTTTTTCACATCAGAGTTTCTCTGAAAAACATTCTGTTCCAGGGACCGAACTAACAGTTATTGATAAAAACTGTCATTGAAAAATTCACTATGAATGAAATGTTCTACAAATAAGTAATATTTACATAGCAATCTATTTCTTTTTTGACCGAAAATCAAATTTGAAAATAAATTTTTATTTGTAATTTTTATGCAAATTCAAAAAAAAAATAACTATTATTTCTGATTTTTATATAAATAATCTGTAAATAACAGTTATTTTTGATTTTTATATTATATGTCTTAGATAACAGTTATTGAAGACTTTTATTTATAAAAGTCATAAATAAAAATCAATCACCAACCAAAGTTTGCTACGACTTATACAAATGACTTTTATATGTATGATTTTAAAAATTGATTTATATTGATGACTGTTATAAATGAAAGTCTTCAGTAACTGTTATCTAAGATATATAATTAAAAAATCAAAAATAACTGTGATTTGCAGCTTTGTTTAAAAAAATCAAAAATAATTGTTATTTTGGATTTATAAAATAAAAATCAGAAAAAACTGTTATTTTAGGAGTAAATAAATAAAAGTCAAAAAGTAATTGTTAAAGAGTGATTTTTTAATAAAACTTGTAACTGTTACGGTCCCTGTTCTATGATATGTCTCTTGTCTCTGGTGGCTTCCACTTATTTCTCCGCGTAATAAGGGCCGTTTTCTGAAAACCGTAATAAAGACACTAGAAGAAGAAGAATTGAATATAATGTTATAAAACTACACATCCTTATGCACACATTATTGGTATCTATGGGACAATTCTGAAAACACTTTCTACGATAATGTAGCTTTCAGACGTGGCAAGTTTATGTAGTTTTGAAAAGTCTGTCTCGTGTATTTCGTGAAGCGATTGCAGCAGCAGTAAAGTGACTTTAAATTTCCGCGAATCGAATTTTTTGATTAACTTATTGCCTGTTTCCACGATGAATGCAGATAATTCCACTTTCATGCTCACCAAAGACTGACCGGTTAGTTGTCAGTTTTATTCTTCAGGAATTTATAAAAAATGGCCGGATTACATAATATTCAAATGCGCTCTTGGACCCGAATATTAAAAAAAAAAAAAAAAAAATCCAAAGAGATCCAGAAATCTGCCGAGTATGAAACCTAATTGGAAGATATTGACCTATCTCTCCAGCCAGTTCTAAAATGCCCTATGTCAAGAAACTTTTCTAGCACGCCCTATTTAAGAATTTGGTTGAACAATGCCCTATCTCAGCTGCCGATTCAAAAACGCCATATCTCAGCACATTTTCAATGCATTTTCAGCTGTGATAGGGCGTTTTTGAGCCGAATTATGAGACGGAGCGTTCCTTAATCAAACTCTGAAGTAGAGCATTCTTGAAAAGTTTTGACATAGGCTGTTTTCAAACTAGCTGCAGATATAGGTCGATCTTCCGCTCATGTTACGATATACATAATATACGCATTCGCTTTCATAAAAAATAAANCGCTCATGTTACGATATACATAATATACGCATTCGCTTTCATAAAAAATAGTCTGATGTAATAATCGTGGAAATATTAAAAAATATTTAAAGTTGTTACAGGGGGGACAGATCGTTGTGACTGGTGCAAAGTAATTTCATATGAAGTAAAAGTTTCCACACACAAAACTTGCAGTTCCCTTTTTATTTTATTTTCTATCATATTTTTCAACAGACTAATGAAATTTGGTCATTCAGCAAGAGTTTGCTACTGAAACAATAATAATTAAGACAGTTAAAAATTTATGCCGTTTTCCTCTTTTAAATGGAATGATCCTAATATAAATATCAAGTGAATATTTTTCAAATAGATAAACGAATTCTTTTCTACCTACCATAGTTGTGCGTTGTTTACATTTGTCAGTGCCGGCGAAAATATTTAGCGGTTGTGTACTGCCAGGTGTGTTTCGTTGCGGACACTGATCAATATCCACACGCCTCAAATCAATATCGATGCCCGATGTGCCTCTATTGTTGTTGTTGTTGTCATCGTTATTGTTGAGTTTTATGAAAATACATACCATTATTCATTTTATTCATTGCCATGTTTGTTTGTTTATTCATTTAGCAGTTTCAAATTTCATCGGGTTTTCGCAATTTCATTTAAATGAATTGAATATTTTTTGGCGAGGTTTTAATATTTTTTTTTTGTTACCACATTGTTATTGAAAAAATTCCATCAGTGGTTCAATTTCAAATTACATTGGTGTTATATGAGTAGCAGCACATGAAAAAAATTCAAATAGAAATAAAAAACATTTGATTAGTTTTAATTTAGTTTATTAAGCTGTGTCTATTGAAGTGTAATTTGAGCAAACAAGTGATCACCTCTTCAAAAATAATACAAAAATTTTATTTGTAAAATTAAAATTTCTCATGAATTTTTTATGACAATATTTCATGGAAAAGATATTTTTAAGTACTAAGCATAATTTTTAGATAATTTCAATGATTAAAACATATTACAGACGAGAATAAAATTAATAGGCGAAAGAGAAAGAACAACACTAGGAATAAACATATTCAATTAAACTGCTTATTGATAGAAAATTCAATAGTTCACGCTTTTGAAATTTTATTAGGTTTAGTAGGAGCCCTCCATATCGTAGCTTAACCACAATAATTAGCTTTAGCAGAAGCAAAATTGAAAGTGATACCACGCCTTGAAAAAATCTTTATATGTATGTAGATGCAATCCAATTTCTGAATGCAGACATACAAAATTCCGACTTAGAGTACCTAGTTAGCCCAATAAATTTCTTTGCCTTAAATTCTACAAAATATAACTATACTGCTACATATATAATTGATAAGCAATGTTCAATGTAAGCAATAAATTAAGAAGGCACAGCAACTTGAAATTACTATTTTGAAGGGACTAACAGCATAATTCTAGCTAAGATAGCAAAAAGTCTTTCGTATGAGAAATTAAAGAGAGTTAGCAAGATAGTTCGAAATACTTTTGTCATTCTAGCACAAATATTTTAGAAAAAATATCCCCAATTCACCACTCGTTGTGAACGTCTATTTTGTGTAAGGAAGCATTTGTATATAATTTAGCCTGCGTCGCTCCAATAGTCCGAGCTGGCCTAGTGAACAAAGCACAGGAATTTTATTTGAGGGATCCGAGTTCGAGTGTCGGCCAGGGAATTTTTTTATATTTTTTTTTAAACTTAAATTTTTTCTTTTTTTTTAACTTACATTTTTTTATTTTTTAATAGTTTTGTTTTTAATACTAGAGTTTATTATTTTAATATGTAGTAGTAGTAGTATATGTATATTAAATTTTTAGAAATTTATTTTTTCTTTTTTTTTAATTATTAAAAAAATTTAAAAATTTTCTTTAATCATTGGATATTATTCTTTTAAAAAGAGGATTTCTTTTGATATAATTTTAAGGAACTAATTTTTTTATTTCAATAAATATTTTTTCCTTTTTTATTTTAACTTTCTTTTGATGTTTAAAGTGAATTAATTTTATTTTTAGAAATTGTTTTAATAAAAAAAAAATACATGTGTTTATTTCAATAATTTTTTAGAATATTTTTTGTGTTTTAAAAATAAAAGTATTTTCCAAATTTTTTTTTGTAATTTTATGTTTGATTTTATCGTTTTAAAAAGAAAAAAATACTTCTTAATTGTTAACATTTCTTGATTTATTTTTTCTTTATTTTCGTTTAATTTTTTATTTAATCTTATTTTTTACTAATTTTTGCTGTTAAATAAATAAATATGTTGTTTAATTTAATTAAATTTAAAAAAACTTATCTTTCAATTAGTCTTGCGAAAGACAGTAAAGAGCTTTCAAAATATTTGCCACAATTGACAATTGTCTTACTAAAGACTTTTGTGAGTTGAAAGACAGTTTCCAGAATTGCCCTGTAAATGTTGATATTGATGCCAGACATTTATGTCACTCATACGCCATGGAATACTGATAACTTTGGCTGGGAAACAAGTTATTAAGTGTATTCCTTTTGGTGTTGAGTTTCCTAACAGTACATGAAAATTAAATGTTTTCGAACGACAAATACTTCTTATGAGTTCTATCCATTTGCCGACAGCTTTGTCACAGCGTTTCTAGGCGTCCTGCAGTGTGATTATAAACACGTCTAAACACTAGGCTATGACACTTAGGTGTTTTAGTAAAATCAACTCCTTTCGCTCATATAACTTATAATGTCGAAATTCTGAGATCGGGCTGTCAAGTATTTTTTCAAACTGCAGCCCAACCCACCGAGGAGCAGCTGCGTACAAAGCGGAACAATTAGAAACATGCACGATCGAAGCTAACGTTTCACAATGGGAATGTTTGCATTTGCGTGCGTTCGATCAATATGTATTTGCATTTCTTAATGGAAATTGTTTACATATTCCTAACGCCAGGATTACGAATACAAAACGATATATCAAGTGCTGGGATTTTGTTGTATTTTCATTGTCTCTGCAACATTTTTACTCTTCTTTACTATGCAAAATGGATACATGATAATACTTTAAATCATTTATAGCCATTTGACGACACTGAATGACACAAAAACTTAAGCAAGTCATTACATAAATATTATTGTTAAATCTATACAAGCATGCAGTCCTTTGAAACAAAGCAAAATCCCATTTCAAAGGTTCCTTTTCTAAGCCAAATTTGCTTGATGCTCATATTTTTTTGCTTTATTTGTGGATCCTTTGAATAAATACTACTTTTTATTTTGAGTTACAGCTTAAATGAATTAACTGCATTTCTGCTGGTTCAACGCTCACGCTACTTAGGGCGCCGTAGTTTTTTTTTTTTTTGTAGTGAAAAGCACAATAAGACCATAAATCAATAAATAAAGCCTAACGTCCGTCAAAAAATAATGCGAATGTTGTACCCTTTTTAGTATTAAGTTGATTATAAATGTGCGTACATGCATACGCATCCAAAAATATATGTGTGTGCAAAATTTTTATTTATGGGTAAGTAAGTAAGTAGGCTTTACACCTCTTTTGAGTGGCATATGCGCGGCAAAGTGTAGAAAATCGAAAAGAGATATTTCATGTCAGACGGAGGACAATGAAAGTCCAAAAGAGAAAGAAAAAAAAAACAAACCAACTAACAATAACATCAAATATGCCAACCTGAACGACAATGACAACGTCACAGTGTGGGCGGGTGACAAGTAGCCACCGAGCGTTAAAAGGCCCAACAGAAACGTAAAATAAATAAATACAAGCAAAGCAGAAAAAACCCCGAAGCAGAGCACGTACCTACATACATATACACAGAAAAATAAATAAACGCGTAAAAGTAGAAAACAAAAACAAACAAACACAAAAGTGACGGAATGAATCAAGGAATGCAAACAAAGGCTAACAACAACAATGCCAAAAGGAACCAAGTCAATAAAACTGCCAATTTTGCAGGCTTCCACAAATATATAGAAAAATACCTGCATTTGTACATAAAGCGTTTGAGGGACCACGTACGTATATACATATATGTATATGTACATAAATACTTGTGCATAAATAAATATTTATGCGCATATGTGCATGCATGTACATGCATACATATGTACTCGAATGTAAGCTCATGGTATCCCATTACGTATACGTCAAGTATGACATCAGGTAAACACGAAAGCACCACGGTCGTTGATTACTTAAATCTTTTTTTGTTATTGCTGCACGAAATCATAAAAATGTGTTGCTTATCTAATTTTATTATACATAAATATGCTTTTGTCTTATGATATATGCACAAGTGGCTCAAACAAGTGAAAACGTGTTGATCTTTTTAAATATTCACAATATTTTTCAAATGAAATTTTTTATTAATTTTCTTTAAAAAATTATACAAGCTTTAACAGAAACCATATGTATGTACATCAAAGTTTATACAAAATTTTAGAAAATTCAACAAATTTTCGTCAAAATTTAAAATTTTAACCTAAATTTTTAGAAGACTTTTTCGTATGCAATTTCATAGCTTATACAATTTTAGGCTATAAAGTGCAACTCCATATGTACGTTCCAAGCGCTCATGGAATAGACCCTTGGACGTCTCGTCCTTCTCTTCCGTCGGTGAATGGGCGCTGATGAGCGAGATGTTGAAGAATCTCGATTTGATGCGGATAAACGACAGAATTCTGTGGTAGGAGCCTCTCTCCCTCCATAAATCCAACTACGAATTTACGCGCCTTTACATGGCAGCTGTAGTAGACGTCCTAAGGCCCCACACGTTTTTTACCCTACCCCCGTCAAACGGTCGGGGCGACTGCTACTAAAAATACCTTTCTTGTTTGAGAAAAAATTTTCGTAGTGTCTCAAAAAATTTTCGAAAACGTACGAGAGACCTCAAATACTTGGGACTTAAACTTAATGCCGATGCATGAGAAAATGTATACTTTGCCAGTCTAATACCTCACCGTAGCGTGAAAGTTCTGACTACCGTCCTTGATCAGCCTCCCGCTGTGGAAAATGGGTTGGACCATTTCCGTTCTCATGCCAATAAAGAAGCTAAATCTTAGTCTAGCATGTCTTTGTACTGCGATTACGAAATTTTAAAGACTAAGGGCTTCGTCGTTTGAAAAGTTAAATATTTCGGCCCTGCGCTTCGACCCAGCGACACCCATATATTTTCTTAAGTTTTTAACGATTTTAATACTTTTGTTTTCAAAGAGTACGAATTCTAAGTGAAATATTTAAAATAACTGTATGATCTCCTTCGGAAAAAATATTCCCCATCGAAAAATTGGGATGATTTGCAAACAACAAAATTCTCGTTGTCCCTTCAATTACACAAGAAATTAAGAAAAATAAAACTCTTCAAAAATTTTTCCGAAACGATTTATTTAATTTTATATATTACATGCACATTATTATTTTACTTTAATGCATTGCCGAAAGGTTCTGTTCGTTTTCTAATTTCTTGCTTAAACACGAGATCAGCGGAAGTTTTGATGTACGCACACTAGTAATCGGGAATC